ATACTAGCCTCTGGTGCAATATAGGGCACCCTGGTACGCTGATTTGTGTCAGTGGTTGCCCCAGCGCGCACAGATCCGAAGTCAGAGATTTTCAAGACACGACGGCTATCCATTAGCAACATATTCGACGGCTTCAAATCGCCATGCAGCAATAGCGGATCTCTCGTATGAAGATACGCAACGGCCTGGTAAAATAAAAGAAGTAAATATACATGTATACAATAAGGCTAACGTCAGAGTGGCCGCGAGAATAATCGCAGCGATCTGCAAAGCGATGACATGACAGACTGAAAGAGAAACATTGCGAGTAATTGCTTGCACTCTGGCATGTTTAAAGCGATTACATGTAAATGTGCATGCAGTGCTTTCGCGCACTTTGTCGCTCAATATTATCGCATCGCTTATCGCAGCCATTCTGACGTCAGGCTATACGTATAAATATTTGGCAATATACCGAAAAGTACTGGAGGGCCCAATTGACAACATGATTCAATTTATACGCAATCAGCGGCGGGCTATGCAAAAAATCTTTCAGAGATCCCCCGTCAGCATACTCCATAATTGAATACAGGTTACCTCCATTGCGTGAATCGCCAATCAAGGTGAGGATGTTTGGATGCTTAACGTCTCGCAAGGCTCTTAGCGCTTTTTCAACATTGCTAATGTCAGCGTAGGATATGAATTTTTTAACTGCTACGGTTTTATTATAATATTGTCCTTTAAAGACGGTTCCATAGGTTCCGGTTGCGATTTCCTATAACGCACAATTTCTATTACTTGGACAAACCACATCTACGTTATTTATAAGCACTTACTATAGAATTAGTTATTTTTACAAAGTCAATTGACTCTATATAGTTGTTTCCGTCCATTTTCCGTTTCAGACGCGAGCTCACTGTGTACTAATCGAATTTTATTTCATTGAAAATTTAGGTTGATTCCCTGTATAAATGGAAATTGTGGGTATATTGTTTTTAATGTTTAATTTGTAATTTGTATTATTTTTCGGTTCAACGAGCTGAGTCGATATTTATATTTCTGTCCATTCGCCTTTCGTTTATCCTTTTGTAATTATCAACGTATAAATCGCTCATCTCGTTTATTTTTTGGGTTAAGATTAAAAGCCATTTAAGCGAAAGTCTGCAATTTCTCTGCACTTATGCGTATTTATAATCTGAAAAAAAAAAAATATTACACACATTTGTCATTCTAAATTTCATTAAGATACATAGTTCTAGAACCAGTCAGTATTTTGCTCTGTTTTCTGCATGGTTGGAAAAAGCCCCAAATGCCATTTTGACGGTTACCTTTGAAGTCACAAGACATTTGCTAGTCGTCCACTCTCGATTCGGATGAGAAATTTGATAAGACTAACCAGTAATAAAGTAGCAGTCGGGCGTTTCCAACTGCGGAATACTCATTAACACCCCATCAGTCATTTAGTAGCTCAGTTTTGCTCTAATACTGTAGAAAGTTCAGTTTTTCTCGATTTGCCAAGCTCCTATTGGGCGTAGACCCTTCATTTTTGGCCAGTTCATGGAACATTTGGATGCTTACGCTCCAAAAAAAAATTACAAAAATTACAGGGTATTTTTCTATATGCCACGCCCCTAAAGAGGCGTAACAATATTATTTTGGGAATCGATAGAGGAGGTTACTGGTAATTTACTATCCAAATTTGAAGCTTCTAGCTCTTACACTTTAGGAGATATAAACTTTTGCGTTCATACGGATAGACGGACAGTCGGACAGTCGGACAGACAGGAAGACGGACATTGCACAAAACCAATATACTATTTCACTTTCGTGAATGAGTATAATAACTCATGTTTCTCGCTTTCTATCCTTATATATAAAGCATGAATAATACTTTATAAATAAAAATGAGCTTTTATATGTAGGTATAAACAAATAGAACGATTAAATTGTTAGCCATTATCAAGCCGGCAAATGAAGTCAAGTTATATATATTAGAGTATATACACATAGAGGGAACGTATTACAAAATTAAGTCTTTATTGCATAGAATCGGCAACATGTTGAGGGTTGGTCATGCTGCCTACATTAATTATTATTTAAATATAAGTTTAATTTATTAAAATATTGTTATTGGAGCATTTATTTGTTATATATCTACATGTGGACACCTACAACTACATTGTACATTCACAGCACAGCGCCACACCTTTAGTCTTTCTTGGCTATCAGGCCTTGCTTTTTCAGCTGTCGGAGTGCACATTTGGCAGCCGTACATTTGGCTATACGGTAGTTGCGTCCGATGCCGCGGAATGTGCCCTTGCAAAAGACATCAACAGTGACGCGAACGCGACGTCCGTCCGCCAGTTTCTCTGGCTTGCCAAATTTGGCCGTTTCCGGCTCCAGCTCGAGCAGCTCTCGTATGGGTGACTTTGGCACAGAATTGCTAAACTGCTCTATCTCTGGCTTCATCATATTGCTGAATACCTGCCACACCACATCCAGGGACATATTCGAGTCGAGAAATATGGCACCGGCGATTGATTCGAATACATCGCCCAATGCCTTAGGCACCTCAACATCCTCGGCATCATCGCACTCCTCCTCAGAGAGCAGATAATACTAATAATAATAAAGATATACGATGTCATTATCATGTCTGATTGATTTCAAATTGAAACTCACCTCTTCGCTTATGCAGTGACCGTTCTCCTGCTGAATGCGAACAAAGCGGTCGATGACGTCGTTGAGTCCGGGTGATAGATGACGAAAATACTTGTGGAAGCCATGCCGCACAGCCAATGAGGCAAAGATTGTGTTGTTCACTAAAGCCGAACGTAGATCAGTCAAAGCGCCTGGCGAATGTTGGCGTGGATCCTCATACAAATGTCGTGTTATCAGGTAGTCGAGGACGGCATCGCCCAGAAATTCGAGACGCTGATAACAATCTGTTAGACGATTGGGCGTGTAACTGGCATGCGTCATGGCCTGCAGTAAATAGGAACGATCTCTAAAAGTATAGCCCAGGCTGGCCTCGAATTCCTCAAATCCACTAAGCAGCTCCTCCAGCTCCCTATGCGCATTGGGTGCAAAGTGCAGAAGCGGACTGCGCGGCGTCGGCCAATCACCATATACGGTAACCATGTTGTTGTCATCTGGCTTCGTGCTGCCCGGCTTGCGTTGGCTAACGTCTGCAGGAGCCGGTTCCATTTGGTAGGGCAGCACACGGACTCCCAGCCAGGCCATAAAGAGCAATGCGCCGCGCGGACCACACTCGATGAGATAAGCGCCAATCAACGCCTCTACACAATCCGCTATAGATTTGTCCGGTATGCTATGCTGCGAGACTAGATTATATGGAATGAAGCAACTGAAATCGTTCGTCTCGTTCGAGTCGTCCAAATCAGCATTTTGTTGTGTTGCTGTGGGCTGATCTGCATTGGTGCCCAGGCCCAATGCTTCGGCCTTTTCACGAACCAACTCGCAGATTTGCACGCTGCTCAAATTCTTGATATCCAGCAGGTCGGCCAGCTTCCAGTGGTGCGTTGGAATTTTAGCCTCAATTAGCGCCTTTTCCAGCTCTTTGGGTACATAATAGCAGGGCGGCAGCCAATTATCGTGCGGCTCGAACTTGGTGGCTATCATATATTCGCCTAGTCGCTTGCGTCGCCCCAATCGATACAGATTGAGATTGGCCACTTGCTTGGAGCGCAGATGGCTTAACTTGCCCTCGTGCACATTCTCATAGGTGATATACAGATATGTTGTAATTGCATACTTGAGGAACGAGTCTCCAATTGTCTCCAGACGCTCCAAATTAATGCCATCGTTGGCATTTGACATTGTCAGTGCCTGCAAAATGATGCTGGGGCTGGGTCCGGGATGCCCTACCAGCTCCGGCTGCTGATCGAAACTAAACCCGGCATCAGGCCTGCCTGTTAAGAGCCTTTCCGTTGGATTCACAGCACTTTCATTATTCGTTGCCGATTCTCTTTGATACTCAAGTCTGATCTGTTTATTGTCCAAGCTCAGTAGGTGGTGATCATTGTAGTTGTCAAAGCTAGCGCCACAACCCAATACGGTGTAGGTTTCAGGTTCATGCTGCTGCAGCCAACTTGCATTTAGCTCAACCAGATCAGAGAGCTCCAGCGACTCGTGGCTATCGAGCTTAGCCAAAATTGCATCTTCTGGCACGTATGGCAGCAGTTGCTTAAGCAGCTCCAGCTGCAACGTAGCCCCATCTTTGTCCACTTTGACTAGGCTGTCTTCTGTTCGCTTGATGTTGAGCTCCTCGTCTTGTGACACCAGCATGCCGCAGGTCTCAATCTCTGACTTAAAGCGAACAATGGACTGCTCGTAGTTGACACTGTTACTACGCTCCGCATGCTCGAAGTTGTACCCTATGAGCAAATTCTTTGTCTCTTGATATTGGCGCTCGTTGGCATTGGTGGCTTGAATAATGGACATCTGTTTCTGGCGCTTTTCCAGCTCTTGAGCTGTTTCGATGGCCTCCGCCTCGTTCTTCGATGTGAACTCAATGCGGCCGGCGGCAATGTCATCCGAATCATCGTCATCCGAGCTGTAGTTGTGAACCGGCCCTACATGATCGTCATCATCACTGCTGGAGCTAAGGGAATTATCCGATTCGTAGTAGGCGTATTTGGGTTTTCCCTCTACTTTTGCAGATTTGCCCGCGCCACCACCGCCTCGCGGTTTAGCGGTTCGCTGTTGGACAGAGTCAGCTGGCTGCTTAAAGCTATTGGTATTGCTGACATCCCAAAACGTCGGCGAACCGTATCGCATCTGTTGATCGCCTATAAGGTAAATGGAATGAGATTTGATAATTTTTTGCTAACGATTGAATAACCTCAACTTACAGAACTTAACATTAGCGGGAAGCACTGGCAAAAAATCTTCATCCTCCTCATCGTCATCACCCTCTGAATAGCTGGCTATGTCATCGGCCATGTCATTCGACCAGGTGCCTATCTCTATAAATTCTGCCGTACTGCTTAACTGTTCTTCTCCTTCAATAACCAGCTCGTTGGCAGTCTTCTCTACTTTATCCAGGCTTGGCTCAGCTACTGTCTCGACAGCCAAGTCCTCCGTAACTTCGTTGATTGCCTCTTTGCTATCGGATTTCTGCTTAGACTCGCGGGATTTCTTCAGCACTTCCGAGAGGCTCCAGCCAAAGTCTAGCATGGGCCACTCGAACTCCTCATCATCGATTTGTTGCCGGCCGAGGCCAAGATCCGCAGAGACCTGTTTTCGAATATCGTCAGCCAACAGCAGCCCATTGATGCGGTACAGGATGCAGGGCAGACAAACTGCTGTGCGCCATAGAGACGCCGGGAACGGATGCACTGTACAGAGTTCGGGAACTAGAATCTGCTTTTGTTCAAGATTTTCTCGCTTTGCCCGCTTCGTTTCCTCCGAACTGGTGGGTAGTGCCACGCCCTTTCGATTCACGTAACGCGGAGTTAGAAAATTTAACCGTGCACTCGTGTGATCCACATCGAGCAGAGGCTGCGTTGCATTCTGTATGGTGAGCCCATATTTAACTAGATAGTAATGCTTAAAGGTGCGATAATGGTCGCCCGGAAAGCAGCTCAGTGGCGACAAATGTGGGCAGATTTCGGCTACATAGAAGTACTGTGGCTGATCTTGGTTCCGATACCAGGGCATAACGACAGCGTCCTGAAAACGTTGAGCATCGAATGATTGCTTTTGCCGTTCCTCATCTGGCACTGGCTGTGGCATCATGTTCCCAGTGGCTTGAATGAGCTCCAGAAATTGCCAGTCAATAATCCGACTGTCTGCCGTCGACCTTATCGTGGGCACAATGAACACGCAGTTTTCCGTGGAGTCTGGATCGAAGAGCATGAGGAACTTTTGCAGACGCAACACATTTGTGAAAGTATAGTTAAGGAAAACATTGATGCACTTAATCTGCTCCTCAGTTAGGACAACACGATCACGTGCCAGATCCAGCGATACCTTTACCTCACCAGATCGCGTAAATATCGAGAAGGCGCTCAGCTTTGGTATGCGTTTCAGCGTCAATATGCCGAAGCCTTGTTGTGCCTCTTCCGGCGGATAGATTTTGCGACCGCGGGTGTTCTGCTCTTCAGGTATAGGACACTGTAGTGTTAGCTGAATGAAATACAGGTAGCAAGGAGCGCCAGCCACAGGACGGCAGTCACAAAACTCCGATGCAATACGCTTGTAGTAATATTGCCGCCGTTTTGTGGTGCCCGGCCGTGGCTCGTCATTTTGTTGCACTATCTGCTCGTCCTCTGGCTCCAAATCGAAGCACTCCCAGTCTGGCTCCAGTGCCCGAAAGCCCTCCTTACCAATGGGCTGCAGCTGATCGTCCAGTTCACCAATCTTATGCAGATCCACACAGGCCTGCAGTGCGGCCAACCGCCGTGCAAGTGTCTGAGTGGGCATCGGCAGACCCTTTAATGAGAAAATAAATCGGTTTGGAAATACTCAAATTGCAGCATATATTCAAAAATCTTACAATAATATCGTGCTTTAGAGGTGAATTAATGGGCAGGCGCAACGTGTACTGGTATAACGTGACGCCGTCACGAACGGCGCTCGCACAACGCCACAGAGCTGTTAGCTTGGTGAAGGTATCGCTGGGCAGCCGGGCGCAATATTTGTTGACCAGGGCTATGGCAGTACTTAAGTCAACTGAGGCGCCGGTTGACAGGTGCGGCTTGGGCCTATAGGCGGCAAGGCAGCTCGTGAATCGCTCCGCTTGTATCTGCTCCAGCTCGGCGGGCTCCGTATTGGCACACTTCGATAACAGCATCTGAAATAAGTAAGCAAGTATTAAATAAATACATACATATAAAGTTTACTGACTATTAATAACAATTACCTGCTCGATCTCGCGATATTGTGCCATTCGATGCACCAGCACCTGTGTTGTACTTGTCAGATTGTCTGCTATTGCCGGAACATTTACCTCAGTGGCTGACTCAATATCTGGCATCGAATGGAGTTCGCATTGGAAGCGTTGCTTGGGTCTACGCTCCGCGCTTCTGTCACTAGGCGTGGTATTCGATAAGCTAATGGCATCGTCACTGGAATTGCCGGCATCTAGAACAGCGGGCGCCTCGTCCTGGATCTCCTGCAGTTTTATGTCACACACGGTGGGCGGTTGGTTGCTAAACACCTCTGGATTGAGTATTTTGACCGTTCCACGAGCAGTTCCAAAAGTATATGGATCGGAAGCAAGCGAATTGGGCAGTGCAGAGTCGTCTGAATCGCTGTCCACCTCCTGGTCAGCATTCGCTGTATCATCGCTGGACGTTGCACAGATAAATCGATGGCTCTGCGCATTGAGCTGCACTGCAGCTTTGATTGCCGCATCAGACGGATCATACGTGGGTGCTACAAGCATTATATGGTAAGCGGGTGCGGCTCGCGCACGTCCCTTGCATTGCACATAGCTGCGATAAGTTGTGGGTGGATCCCAGCGAATTACCAGATTGCACTTGGGCACATCAATTCCCTCCTCTAGCACCGAGGTGCCAATTAGCACATTACAATCGTGCATGCGAAACCGTTTCAGCACATCCTCCTGCCGCCTATGCTCCAGTTCAGCTTCTTTTGGCTCTGTGGCCGGATCAGCCACGCGATCCGTGGTATACTGGCAGCGCAGGAACTTTAGATGAGGATCGCGTCGACTCAACTCCGCCAACAGTTCGAATAGAACGCGAGCCGTGTGATTTTGATTGCAATAGATAAGAGCACAAAGGGTCTCGCCCGCGTCATTGTGGTGTCGATTGTGCCGCCTTGTGTGCATCCGCCTCCTTGAGTGCTGCTGTCCATTGGATTTGGATTTCGTTGTGGTGGTCGTTGGTTGAGTTCCTGGAGCGTTTTCATCGGTGTTGGCTTTGGCTTGCGCCGCCACCTTTGCTCCCTTTTCTGACGATTGTACGAGTTGCTGCAGATTGTTAACTATACTACTTGTTTCCACATTCTTCTCATCCAGCTGTTCAACCACGTGGCACTTGGCTTTGAGTGCCTGCGACAATTTATTGAAATCAGTCTGCTCCACCTGATGGCGCATTTTACGCAATCCCTCGGCCTGGTTGTGCGCCTCAGCTGGTTTGAAACAGCGTAGTACTCGCAACAGCCGCCGCACCTTGGGACTAGAGTACCGCTCTATGGTACCCAGAGGGTCCTCAACCATTAGCTTTTGGAATGTTTGTTCGCACAGGGCATTTATTTCGATCAGCGCTGTGTTCACCAGGCAGAAAAGCAAATAGTGTCGTTCGTGTGGAGTCTTAACTTTCAGCTTCTCGTTGCGTTGGTAGAAATAAAGTGCGGCGCGTTGCGTACACCAAGGTCCCATTTCATGGAGCACAGAAAGTAGGGCATCTAGCACATTTAGTGGATCCTGCTTGGGATCGGGAATATCTGTGAATTAAATTTGTCAATGGAATAAGAGAAGATAGCTTAAAGGTGTATCCCTGAGCAAATACCTTTTAAGTCCTCCATGAATTGATCGGTGCCATAAATCTCAAAGGGATCATAGCGATGATCACTTAGGAACGACTTATGCGTGGTCAGGATATCGACTATCACACGAGACAAGTGGTCCAGTTGTAAGGGCGCACATTGCACAATATACTCATGGGGCTTGGCACAGTATCGCAGCACGGTGACAATGTCACTGGCTGTTTCGATGCGACACAGCATCTGCTGCTCCAGTGTGTCCAACATGGCGTGCAGTTCCTCAAGCTCACAGTTTGCACTATGCAAGGGACCCGCCAGCCCCAATATTCGGGGACGATCAACAGACTTTGCTGGCAGAATAAATTCCTCGAAAATGGGCAAAATACTGCGATAGACAGCGCTGTCGTGACAATCCTCAAGCACAATCAGTTGAACGCTACTTAGTTGCAGATTTCCAGTTTTCAGCAGGAGTAGAAAGGAAGACGGCTTGTGTATACTGACATGGTAGTCGGTCCAGCAATGATCAGCTGAAATTCCCTGATCTCGCTGTTCCTGCCACACTTTGAGATCGGTGAGATGCGTGAGCATCGTGTAGATGGACGTGTTCTCAGCATCAATCTGATTGGTCAGGTACACGCTCACTTTACCGTTCCGGCGTCCTTGTCTAGAAAGCTCTTGCAGTAACTTGAGTGCTATAAACTCCTTGGAGCTTCTATGACCCAAACAGATAATCGTGTTACGCTCAAAGGCAGTCGCAAGCAGCTCCACTTGAAAATCTCGCGGGGTGAACACTGTGGTATGCAGGTTGTTGTCGCACCAATGGAACGCCATAATGTCATTTGTGTCCAACACTCCCGAGTCTACTGCAGTTCCACTGCAATTGGAATTGGTGGGTAATCCACAATGTGGAAACGCCGGTTCGGATGCTTTTTTGCATCATCGATAAATCGTTTGGTCTGAGCTCGATGAATATCACGATATATCGGCTAGAATTAACAGGAAAAACCCGACTGTAAGTTAACAGTTATCTTTTCGATATTGCTTTGCTTACATTTCATCACATTGTAAGGAGAGCAGAGCAAAGCGGTAGTTCGAAACTGTTTGATTTTCTGTTTAGATTCCAAATGCGACGTTCTAAGGCGCCATCAATACGCAGAGCAGCCAAAACGGGTGTCTCTGTTGCTGAGCTGGATGCTGCCCAAAGTGCTGCCACTCCTCTGGAAACAGAATGGGGCGCATCTGGTGCTTATAAAGGATTTAGGCCAAATAAGTACAATGAGGGAGAAAATCCTCTGAAAGACAAGCGCATTTTTCTCGTGCTCTGGCGTAAGCAGTCAAATAAAAAACATAAAACATGGACAGGCAATGGAACTCTCGAATTGACTGCAACCAAAGCAACCTTGAAGGATGAAACAGGCAAAGTAATAGACGTTTTGACGTGCTTTAACCGGGACAAAATTCATGAAGATGCCCTGCTCGAAATCGGCACGAGAGACATCGAGATACAAGAGGAGCTCAGGACTGCTGATGAATGTATATCACAGCGTAGAGAAGAAATTGAAAACTGGTATCGACAGCAAGAGGAATCTATCGGCATGGTGTCCGCCCATAATGAACCCGCCCGCCCGGGCAACTCCCAGAAACTCCCAAGGCTGCCGAGCATGCTAAGAAAGCCGAAACGATCATCAGAGTTAAAATGCGATGTTGTCACTGCAGCTGCTCCTCCCGTTAAGCTAGACGAATATATTTGCATGCTGGCACCAGCCGAACTTCAATGCCAATCAATGCTGTTGCTCGCCGAATACTGTGAGTATTTGGAAAAGGTGCAATGCTTGTATACAATATTTTAGACATCCATTTATGAAGGTTATATATTTTAGCAACAATTGTGCGGAAGACAAGACATTTATGAAATTGCTCAGCTCATATGTGATCATCCCGTGCTACTAAAGCATTTGGAAGAGCAACAGGTTGTGTCGCAAGCATTGCTGCCCCACTTGCCGCCCTGGCAGGAGATGGGGCTTTACGACTCTGCAAAATTTGAGTTTGTTCATTTAATGTTGGACGATTTGGTTGTAAAGCATGGCCAAAAGTGTGCCATCGTTGCAAGTAATCAAAGCTGCTTGGACATTATTAAGGGTTACTGCCAATGCTGGGATATAGCATACGTCGAAGACTCCTGTCAAGCGGACAGCTTCAATGGGACCTTTTCACAGGATGCCAAAGAGCCAAAGGTGGCTCTTTTCATCGCTGGACATCTGTCACATGAGCACTTAAGTAGCTGCAAATATGTAATACTCTATAATTTTAGTGCTCGATCAGAAATTAGCCATTTGCTAGCGGCGGACGCTCGAGTCTATACGCTAATCACAGCTGGATGTTGGGAAGAATGGCAGTTCCAACAACATTTGGGACTATTCAATGGCAGCGAACAATTAATGGATATACTCAGGCAGCGTGTGAGTCCAACTCATTTGTTACAGGGCGTTGGTGAGAATGTAGGTCAGCTTTGAAAGTCTGATAAACTTAAGTTAAAGCTTTAATATTACAGGTATTAGTGGATTGGCAACAATGGCAGCCTCCATTTAACGAAGTTTTTTTACAGGTATGCAAAGCACTAAATATCCATATGCACAATATTTCATATACATTTCATTTTTCAGGATATTTTTTTAAGCGTTGAGGTACCAAGCTTAAGCTACGTCTACAGCAAACAACATGAAGAACATTTGGCTCATTTTTGAACATAAGTTCTTATAACCATTAAAAATTTTCAATATGGCATACATACGTGTATATATATATAAAGATATTCATGGTCTTAACTTATTAGTTTCCCATTGTAAGTTTCTGCACAACGTCTATGCGCAGTGAGTAGTTATTATCCAGTTCATTGTAAATAACCTCATCGCAGTTGATAATGGCTCCAAGTGCCAAATGCGTTTCAAGATGGGCCAATTGCTCCTCGGTTATATCGTCGGGCATGTCCAGCAATTCATACTCAGTAGTTAAGATAGGAAATGTGAATTGTGGTGGATATGGGCGTATGTCATCCACATTGACTGGCGCAATGTTTCCATAGTCTATGAACAGGATGCTTGGATAACCATCCCCAACTAGTTCCATGCAAACGCCTCGGCACCATTTGCCCTCATATTTGGCAATACACAGTTCATTTTTACTAAAAATTAAATTAGCTTTAGTTATTCAGATTAGGCTTGGAGATTTCTACTCTACTTACGGCGCAGCAAAGGATTTACATTTGGCTATGGATTCGCCATAGTGCTGAATATTGCGCTGCATGGAAGTTATTTCGTATGCATAATCAAGAATTGTGCAGTGAATGACGCCAAATTTGATAAATGTGTTGTCCATGACAACCAATTCGATATTCTTGCCTGTTGGCAAATGGACATGCTGCAGATACTGGAAATAAAGAATAGATTGAGTCAACTGTTGATATCTGGTTTATCCGCCTTACATCTTCTTTATAGCCAATTTCTGAGATCGATGGCTCCACTGGATTGATAATTATGTTAATCAAACGATTTAGGCTGCGATTCAGTTCACTCTCAATAAGAACGACGCGTTGCATTCCCTTGTCAAAGTCAAAATCACGCTTCGAGTACTTCAGCACAAACGTATATGTGTGGTCTAGCTCATATAGCATGCTGCGTATATTGGGCGACATGAACCGTCTAGGCACGGCGCGCAACAAGACAGGCAGAGCATAGCGCGGCAAGCCCGCCAAATAGGCAGTACACTCGTACAGAGTGTCCAGCGTTGTGATCTCCACATTGCCATAATCCACGCACACCACATATATGGCCTGTGGATTGTCGACATTCAAGACCATAGCCCGCACAATTTGAACGCTAGATTTGTAGATGACAATTTCGCCGCATTGTGGCATTTTCGTCAGTTTGGATGCCTGTTTACCATGCAACATCACATCTGACAGCACTTTATAGTAGCTAATCTCATCCCCAATTTCAGCTGAGCGCACATATAAGACATTGGTCTGCTCGAAAGCAGAGATTTTTACGTTAGAGCCGGACGGCGGCAGCTGTATCTTTGAAAATTCAGAAATAATGGCATCGTCAATCTCGGGTGGACTGCCTTTGCCACATCTCTCCTTGTGCGCAACGGCCAGGGCGTCGAAACAGATGGTATTGCAGAAGGGCATCTGACAGAATTTGCAACTAATGTCCGTGTAGCATTTGCATGACAAACATTTCTTAGCCAGCTTCTCCAGCTGTGATTCAACTTGGGCTGGCTTAGCCTCAAGCTGGATTTTGGGCCTATAGGGAAATGTAAATATATTTATAGACATGCAGTTATACTGTATAAATTATACCTACCTAATTATTGAACGCCCGGATCGAAAGTAAAGCACAGCTTGATCCTTCTCAATACTCTGTTCCAAGACATAGGCTCCATGTCGCTCCAGCATAAACTCATATTTCACACTTAAATAGCGATAGTTCCCGTCGTTGTCGGCCAGTTGAGAGCCTTTTCTAGTATAGTCAGATCTAACGACTATGGGTGCCTTCGTGAATTCCGGATGTTTATGCTTGCTCGCCGATATCATAATCGTGCGAGACTCCAAGTTAATGGAATTTGGTTCACTAGAGGGAGGCGGCAGCTCAACTACATTATTTAGTTCCCTCTCCTTCCATGATGTTGAGTTACTTTTTTGTGCGCGGCCCTCAACACAATGCACTATATTCGGAAACTGACGAAACTTTGTCCATGCCGCCTCAAGAGATCTGAATTTGAGATAAGAAATAAATACTTGTAAAATATTGTATTTCGCTTATTTTATTTTTTTTTAACATACCCGATGTTATGAAAATAAACGAGATACTCGCGTGATCCTGGCAGAAATTCTATGTCATAGATAATATCGCCAAAATAATTTTTTAACAAATTCTCCGTTATAAATGGATTTTTCTTTTTGATAATCAAATATGGGTACTGCTGTTGCTTAGAAATCCGATCCAGTTTATCATTATCTTTAGCTGGCGCTACGTTGACCCTTTCATATTTGTTTGAAGTCTCGTCAAAATAGTGCTGAGCTATGGGATCCCAATCTGTCCAAACTTCTTCAGAGTCACTCATTCTTTATGATTTCAATGAACACAAAATACGCAGTAAGCTCTCGTGCGCGCAATGGCAATTGAAAATCCACTCTGACTTAAAATATCGATACAAACTACATTTAACAGAGTAGCCAATTGGTTAACAGCGAGTCCAATCGACCTTCGAGAATGCTGAATAATCGTCGTGTGCAATACATCGATATATTGTTTCGTATCACAAGCGAACACATACACATAAACGCAAATTGTAAACGAAAACAAACGCGAATATAAATTTTCATTGCAATGGTAAAAAATGAACCGAATTTTGTTGTTGAGCGCATCGTAGACAAGCGCATCACTTCTGATGGTAAAGTAGAATACTTTATTAAATGGCGTGGCTATCCATCCGGCGATAATACCTGGGAGCCAGAGGAAAACTGCGATTGCCCCGCACTCATACAAAAGTTTGAGGAGTCGCGAGCGAAATCCAAGAAGCGCGGCGAAAAGAAACCAAAATGTGAGGAAATACAGAAGCCGCGCGGATATGAACGTGGTTTGGAACTGGCAGAGATTATGGGAGCTACAGATGTAACTGGTGAAATCAAATATCTCGTCAGATGGCAATTTTGTGATGAGTTCGATCTGGTGTCAAGCAGCCAGGTAACCGAGAAAAATCCAGAAATGCTCATCGAATACTATCAGAAGATGGCTCCTTACACCGGCTACATAAATAAACGTATGCAAGGCGTGCCCGAAGAGCTACGTGCGACAGCGGCGCAAACAGGCTATGCTGTCAGCAGTGCTCCTTCGGATGCAGTGGAGCCAACCATATGTAATGTGGATTCCGAGCAGCTGCCGCAGATGGAACCAAAGCAGATACCTATTGATGTGCCCGTTCAGCAAGAGACTGCGCCAGATACCGAAATGGACAATGTTGGTGTTTCCTATTCCATACCCGTACCGGGTGTGGGTAACATTGCCATTGATGTCCCAATGGTCGACAATTGATACAAGA